AAAACCCAGGGAATTAAGCAGAGAAGCAACAGGGAACAGGGTTCAGGCTACTATGCTCATGTTATAATGTAAAAATTGTGCCAATAAAAATCTTCAGTATAGAGGTTTTAAGGTTTCTTCTTTTTGTGGTAATAGCAAGTATCCTAGATAATCCAGTCTTTTTCTTGATGTATCAATCTGTGCTGGTGATTTCTAGTCTTTAGCACATCCCTGTACCCATGCATGAGAGAGCAAATGAGCTCTAGAACTGCTTATTTTGAACTTTAATTAGTTACACCAAATTACATTCGGTATCTGAGAGGAAGGCCTATTACCCTACATGCTGTATGTGTGTAAGGGGTTGAGGGGGAAGGGAGGAAGAGAGAGACAGAGAGAGAGAGAGAAATTCAACATTAAAACAGAAAATCTGATAAAGTATTCTTATTCAAATTTATTACAGARCTTCAAATGGGTTCCTATATAACTATACATGCATCTGTTGGTATGGGTTATTAATAATGTGATGGAAGTTTTGGARTAGTTAAAAAAAATGTTGTAAGTACAGTGTTTCCCATAATGGTTTTCAAATTCTTTTGCTACTCTAAGAGAAGAAAGATTTAATTATTTGGAAAAAAGTCTGAATGTCATTATGTAGAAATCGTAAAAGGATCTTTAGTTTTTCGCAGGAAAATGGAAAGATTAAYGCATAGATTTGCAGAGTATGAAGGCAGATCATATTCCACCAAAATRAAAGACAAGGAGGATTTATATACAGCAAAGTTGGATCTTTAGGACACAAAGRAAAGACTCTCAATATGTACAAATTGTGGTCATAAAATCTGTAATAAATTTTTTAATGTACTGCAGCATAAATTCATCCTCTTTATTTAAAGAACACTAATGAAATCTTTTGGCCAAGTTAGGGTGCTTTTGACCTGATGTTGTGATGTAAAATTTGACTCCCTTTCTATACTGGAAATCATAAAATAAAGAAGAATCAAATCTGTCTTTGTACATATTTTAATGCATTTATATGTTTACTTGGACCGAATGCTCTTCAGAACAAGGAAGCAACTAACATACTGTCAGCAATATGCAAATATTGTATTTAATTACCACCACTCTTCCATGGCCTTTCTTTGTGCAATAAATCTTTCTGGCCACATGAAAARCATGTGAAAGTGTTGCAATTCAAAATGGTCATATAATTGTTTCTAAATAAATAAACCATTAATCTTCAAAAAAGAAGTTTTAATAGCTACCAGACAAGACACAAGCTTGGAAGAGAATTCTTTCCTCTGCCAGGCTTGCCTGTTCACATTAATTTATTTCCTCAGCAGGTACAAACATGTCCTAAATAGTCTTTATTCTTACACAATAGCAGAACAAAGGCCAGTTCATTTGTTCAGGTGCTAGACAGAACATAACTCTCAAACAGCTGAGAATGAATACATACTAYAGATCTTATAACCCAACAGAAAAAGAATAAGAATTGAGGAAATAACAACGAAAATGTTCTGTCAGTCATGCTAATAAAGTACATAATGATAGCAATGTGGAATSAAAAATGTATCTTGTAATATCTTGTTCAAGGGTAACACTCTTGTATTTTATTTCAGTGTTCTTGCATTTACTCAACATACTGGGGATTAAAAGAATGGAAACCACAATCTAAGTTGAATTAAATGAGCAGTAACAGAGCCTTTTGTGTTACAGCATTTGTTTTCCCTAGGATGGCTAGAATRCATTGATAGAGCTGAGGTACTGCAGTCTGGCCTACTGCTTTCCAYTGGAGATTGTCTTCAGCTCTACTAYCTTGATACAGTCTACTTCTCCCCACCATGCCCAAAACTGTTCCTTCTTACACCAATTCCTGAATGCSTTTTGTAAATACCACACTTTGTTCTGTCAGAGCTGCTACTTCTTGCCCTTGAAATAGTAAATCCAGAAAGGGGATTCGGACCACARGTTGCTAGGTCTGTGAACGTTTCTATCCTGTTCTTCAGCTCACTCCTCATTAGTTCAAAAGAATTAAAATRCAGCTTTTTCTTCAGTAGTATGTTCTCTTTGACAGTTGTAACAGAGGTAGAAAGAGCAGAAGTATCCAGGGAAGTATYCTGTATCTATATTTTGAAAAAATTCCACTGCTGTTTCGGTTTTTAAAAATTGTTTATGAAAGTCAACTTAAAAAGCAAAAATGGAGCCTTCAGAACCAGGAAGTACTTTGAAATGAATATGAGTATGAATTTCCTCAGCAGGTCTGAGAATTGGGAAATTGGTAAGGCTTCAAACATTCAGCTAAAATCCATATGCAAGGTATCCTCAGAGGGAGGTTCAAATTTTTGTTCAASTACTTCTTCAAAGAGGGTATAAAACTTTACAGTGATAGTGGGTTTATGGTACTTAATTAGGCTTTTTTCTGCTGAATATATGATTCATCAAAAATTCTTCTTTTCCAAGTACCTCAGGGCCGTCATAATCTTTGTTTAGTGCAGGATGAAATCCAGCTTTTCATTGCTACATCTTCAGTTAACTAAGACAGTTCTTCTTAATCCCCCCTAATGCTAAAAAGATTGCATCAGAAACATAATGCTGATATAAAAACACTGAATAAGCAACCTTGGGGCCAAATTAATGTATGTTCACTTGCAAAAGAAGGAAAACATGGCCTTTGCAGAMAAACCCCAAGCAAACAATCTTGTACCTCTTTTTTTTCTGTTCTTCTTCAGCAAGTCATAATATATCTGTGTATAAGTTCCTTTTACCTGTCTCTCCTACAGGAATAAGATTCTTTTTTTTTATTATTCCAGTCCTAATGACAGTCAGATTAAAGACCTGTTAGTCATACTTTGCATACCTGTGACCGTCTGGCTTAAGGAACCTGGGTAGCTCTGAGTTTCTGCAGAACCCAAGCAAGGGTTCCAAGCAGCTAAATGATGTTCTTAAGGCTCCTAAAATGGCAGTTGTGAGAACAGACTGGATTGAATTGTTTAATGAATGTACTACMCAACACTATGGGCAGGAAGATAAACAGATTTCTCTTACAGGTAAATGGTTCTCACAAATGGTTATCTCAATTTCAGTGCATCCAGTTTTGTTGTCCTTGCAAGAGATCATAAATTTCAATCCACAGTCTGTCATGTAATTGCAAAATTATATTGCCATGGGAGCTCCTGGTCTGGCACTTTATGCAACATGCTAGTTCAATGCTGAACACAGGAAAGTGACATATGAGCCAAAATGCTTTTATGTTAGTGATATCCTGCACTAGATGGTGCTCTGTACGTGGGTTTTCTTAGGCAATACCACATTTGTAACCTAGTATCTTTCTCCTGATTAAGTTAATTATTAAACGCTAGAAAACAAGTGAAAAATATTTAGGTGTCTTTAAYTAGTCCTTAACTATTTTTTCTTAGTAATACATGGGTTCCTAAGAGTACCTAAACTGTAGAAATTCACAGCATCTAATTCTCTTGAGGTGCAGCTCATTCAGGTAGTTAAATTATGGTTCCTTTATTTTTAGAAGTCTCCCATTACAACAGTAGTTTGTGTCTTCTGATGATTAGGAAGCAGAAACAAAACTGTGCAAATTACAAACACTGCTTGAACTAACTTATCTGCACTATGGCATTCCTGCTATGATTCCTCTACTGCTTTTCCCTGCTGGGATCTCTTTAATTTTTCACATCTCAACTACCCAAAAATTCAAKGGAACTTCACTGTTGTGAGTCCCATCTTTATATCATAACACTAATAAAACAGCATTTGAATGTTTCTTGTGATCAAGAAACTGAGATTAAGTGAATACTTGTGGCACCAACAGCATGAAGTGCCTGCTTGGGTTATACCGAATTCACTGCAGGGACAACAGGAAATYGAACTTCTGCCAAAATGCCATACACACCTCAGAGAAAAGCTTCCTCACTGAAACGGCTGGGTTATTCATGTGGTATTCAGCAAATACACAGTTCATGCTGCATGCTCAAAAGTCTTGTAAGTCTTACTCTGTAGGTTACTATCCAGTTTGAGTTGTTAATGCTTGCAATGTTTGCAGTCACTTTGCCATGTGATAAAGGGGACTTTAATGATTGCAATGTATATATTTTTTTAAATTTTCTAGTAACTCTGAGTATCTCATTTTAAATATATCATGGAAGTCTTTGAAATAAGACTTTCAAATTGTTCCAGTCTTCTGTCACTAAATCCTACCTTTGTTACCAGGCATGCTTAATTAAAGATCTCAGCACAGTTCTCATCTGTTCCTCTTAGTGCCTTTTCCTAACAAGGTTAAAAACCTTATGAATTGGTTTCACTAACCCTCTGACTCAGTAAAGAAAACAGAAAAATCATACCCATCTGAAAGAACATAAGCCACTCATGCTAAAATTTCTARGCAAAAAGCTCTAGGATACCGAAGGAAGGGAAGGGCTTCCTTCTTATGTTTACACAATCTGAATAAAACAAGTCATTAATAATACAACTTGGGGAAAAAAAGTCCTTAAATATTTGCAATCCATGRCAATAACTTTAAATTCTACTTTCTATTTCCCTTTAACTTTCAASATTAAACTAAAGCACTCAAGCTACTAAATTTCATAGAAAAGTTTCATATATAGCATAATAACTGGACACATATCCTGCTATGTAATTTTAAACTTCTTTTTTTCTCTTCCCGAAAGAATTAAGTAAATTAATCTCATGCAAATAAACTGAGTCCAGGAAAGTTACACGGGGGATTAATTAGGCATGTCATCTGCTTCTCAAGCAGCTCATTTATATTGTATCTCAAAGAAAACATAGCTTTAAAAACAGACCTTTTCTGTTAATGTACTTTCTCATTAAAAAGGTATCAGCCACATACATTATTTACTATTCTATAGTGAATGTAGCCCTGTTAG